TTAAACCTTATTTTCAATAAGCAATCCTGAAAAATATTTGGGGGTGCTTAACTTTTTTCCAGTTGAATATATGTACAAATAACAAAAGCAGCAGTATGTTTAACATAAATGAAACAAAATGGCCTCCAACACTCCTTACAGCCATCATGTCCCAGCCTTTTACTACAAAATTACATAGGTCCAAATCATCATTAAAAAGATTTGAACATTTACACTTTGATGAAACATAAATTTTCAACTTTTTCTTTAAAGAAAAATGCTTTATACTATGAAATTAAAAAACAAAATTTTACATCCCTTCTGGTGTGACACCTTACATAAATTAACATAAAATGATAATATAAGGATAATACTGATATTCCTTAAATTAATTACAGTAACTTTACATATTGTGCAATATGGAGATTTATCAGACTAGTATTTCAAATTTACAAATATGTTTAACATAGGATAATATGATTAAATATACTATACTTAAACAACATTCAAGTTGGTTCTGGAAACAAAAGTCCAAAATTACTGTCAATTTACTTAATATCAGTCAACATACAAGAGTTAGAAGAGCTTTACTGGTACACAAATAGTGTTGAAAAGTATTGAACTTATCATTATATAACTACTCTGATCATATCTTTAACTAATGCAGAGCTATGATCTTGAGCACAATGTTATAAAGTAAGAAGACAGGATAGTTTTACTTTACACTGCTACACAAGATGCTTAACTTGCTCATAGAAACTGAAGCCTCAACTGATGATTGTCTTTTCAGATGATGTTGAATTAGATAATGTATTATTTGATTTCTGTGAAGAAGACAATGAGCTACAGGGTTTATCAAATATCTTCTTTAATTTCTCTTGGTAAGACATGCCTTTACAAGTTTTGGTCTATAAAGAGCCACGCTTTTTTATAGTAATTTATTCCTCTGTGAATTTGTACTGTCTCTTGTCTGTTTGTACAATGCTTATTCCTCTTTAGAATCTTTTCTTTTTTCTTGCAGAATTAAGCATAATATGAGCTAGAGACAACTCTTGTTATCGACTGTCTCTCTGTTCATTGTAGACCCAACTATGGCAATTGGCTTCTTTAATCACAATATCTGCTGCATTCATCTCTGTTTCTAGCTTTGCTTCTTAGGCTTCCAAATCCTTCTCTTTTTTGATCTAAGGTTTTCCTGTCACTTATCAGTTGATCTCATCTCTGCTTCTGTAATTGTTCTTCCTGTCTACACTCCTCTTTTTCTCTAACCTTTTCTTCTGTGCTTCAGAGAAAGCACTATATGTAGCATGTTTCAGTTTCTGAATAAAATTTCAATAGGGACCTATAGATCTATATCCTGATACACGATCAGCCTGTAGACTGTGATGTCATCACAATAGACATTGTCTCCCATTGCTTTTGTTTGTATTTTTTATTATAAGTGTGTGGACCCTCTTCAGAAGTTGTATTTTGAGCTAATTCCAAGCTGATCATGTGATTCCTGTCACCAATACTCAAGTCAATTTTTACCCGGGGACTGGCAATATGCGTGTTGTCTTGCTGTGAACATTTTTTAAACAGAAGCAATGAAGTCTATGGCAATGCAAGCATCTTGGTAGCAACCCTCAACAACAGAATCGAATTCGTCTTTAAAAATGACATACTACACATATGCACACTTCTTGTTTGACTTCCAACACAAACCATGCTACCACATTTACAGTTTTGGCAAAATACCTGTTATTTCTGCCTTTTGAATGATGAAATCTCTTCAGAAATCATGTGAAATTGTATGTATGTGCAAATAACAAGTTCAGAGTTAGTTGGTTTCATTTACTAGAGTCAGTCGGGGCTAAAAAACAATGCCAATGTCGTCTACATCTGTCTTTGCATGCATGCAGATAAAAAATCTGAACAGGCAACATGCATGTTATGTGGATAAAATATTTATCTAATTTTGTGTCTCAGTCTGAACCAATATAAATCTTGATACAATGCTTAATTTACATACCTGCCTCACAAAAGTAAGAACACAAAGACAGCCAAATTCATAAAAATTTCATGAATGAATCACAATCTGTCGAAGCCAAGCCAGCAAATCTAACATTCTGCTTTTGCTAAAAGCAAAAGTAAACTAGAAAGTAATTTTTGTTTCAAGAATTAACAAACCTATATATTTAAATGAATTACAACTTCATGATGTACATAGACTATCATGATATTTATAAACAACCAAGTTATGCAATGATGCATATTAATTATATATATGCTCAGATTGGTGTTACACACTAGCAAGTCTACATGCATGCTGTTCGACATGCTATCTGGCACTGTATGTACATCTGTTTTATCAGTGCTATGCAGTATTTGCTACATAATGAATATGATCTTGAATCATTGATATGCTATCTTCTGTTATCTGAGATACTTATACTTGCACCATTCGTAGAAGCATTCCCCACAACACAGATCTTGCAATTATATACGAAAAATCTTCCAAATATAGAATATATAGGGAAAAAAGCCAAAAATACAGGAATTTGAGCTAATTTTCAAATATAAAGGAATCTGGATCAAAATATAGATTATAGGAAATACAAGAACCAGTAACTGAGCATACATCATTTACCATTACTTTGTAGATCAGCTAATAGTATTAACCCTTTCGCCCCGGGTAGGTTACAGTGCATGTGTCACGACATTTTGGAGTGTTATTTTCAAAATTTTATTAAATAGCATTTTTACTACTTACATCAATGAAATTGGCATCAGAACATAGTTTATAATTTAAATTTTGACATTGTATATGTTTTAATTTCTTAATTTAAAAGGAAATGTAAAGAAAAAAATGTTAAATATAAATTTTTTGTGTCACATAACACGTCCAGTTGTCTTATTGTTCAGTTGTCATTTTATCATGCCTACCATACAACATGTATAAGTAGCTAACAAATTAGAAACTCAAATTTGAAATATAGACAAGCTAAATATAAAATAAGAACCTCCCTTCTCTACGATTTGCTGAGATAGCAATATTTTTAGCGAGTCTACTAGAGTGGCTTCTCCCACTGCACCAATCTTTTGAAAGCTCTTATCTAGTCCCATTTACTACTAATTAGCTACTGCTTACAACCAATAGAAAGAACATTTTCACCTCTACGTAACTCTGACAGTTGTTTATAAATAGCTTGAAGAAGAAAATAACAATTTTGCCAAAACCATTGAAGTGTGATGATTTAGTTGTTGCTCTGAACAGGAATGGGATTTTTTTTAACCCACATACAGTTTATTTAGAGACCACACTAAGTTACCGGGATTTTGAGTGTACTAGTACAGTAATTTGATAACTTTTTGGTCTTCAGAAATTCATATTTGAAGCCTAAAAAAATTAGTATCTCTACCCCTCCACCCAGAAGAATAAACGAGGCTTACGTCAAGGCTTAGCAATTTCAATGCACGAGCGTAACATTTTGTAACACTGTTACGTATTCGAAATCTTTGTTTGTCAGTGTACTTCTCATTTACTTTCTATGTTTTAAGAAATGTAATTAAAATTTAAGCATTTATGAGTAAATAGGAATATGTATGTTTATATACATGTGTAACGTATGGAAGCCGAAATATCACTGTAAATTTCAGTATACATTTGTATTTTGTAGGCCTCCTGTTATGTAATTGGATAAACCCGGCTCAGAACCTACAATGTTTATCGGATCAGCCCAACTCTGAACCATATAATAAATGTTTTTACACATTCAAATTGCAATTTTATTACCCTGGGAAATTCCTGTTGAAAGTGTTGTAGGAACTATAAACTGCTATATCCCATATTGTGTTCCCAGAACAAGGGGAATGTCACCTCAGTGAATACACAGAATAAGCACAGAAAATATATGGGATATGTTTAGCAATTGAAACTGTTAGAGGAAGAACTTTGAAACTTCATGATCAATAATGAAGAAAAAAGAAACAGCTGCTCACTATATTATCATCTTACAATGATCTTACAATTTTTCTTTTCATTCTACTTCAATGAGTTGTCTACAGGCTGAAGAATCAAATAATAAATGTAATAACAGGTAAAATATAATGTCTCATTGAAAAAAAAGGTATATATGTATTTAGGAGGTTTCAGAGGTTGTGCAAATGAAATTCAAGGTTTTTGAAACAAAGACAAGTATTTTAAATCTTAAAATAAAAATCACTTTGCACTCAGACTAGTTAAAAAAAAGAATCGATATTTTCATCGACAAATGTAAGTAAAAATACTTCATTAAATATCTGATTTTTTGTGTGCAAAAGGCTTCTAAT